ACCTTACCAGTGATTGCATGTTTTGGTTGGAAAACCCCATTCTAAATTCACAACATCAAGGTGGGAACATTTATCCAATTAATGCAAAATAAGATGTGCTCACCCACCAATCATTAAATTACTATTTGAGAATCACACCATGCATTTTGTCACCACATGGGTGATGCCATTCCCCCCCTCCTTGTCTCTGTATTGTGAGCAGATGTTTGGTGTGTCTGCTAATCTGGCTGTACATTATTCTAATCATATAGAATACTGTAAATGATGTGTGCCAAACTTAACCAAGTGCAAAGATTAAAATACAATCTAGAGATATCTCTACTCCTTGCTAATCATGGGAGAGGTTGTTTCTGTACTTGTGAAATCTTGTAGTTTGGCTCAATGTAATAAACCATAGCATGGTCACGCCTTACTGCCTTATCCGCAGAGGCTTGTTGACCAGTTTTTATTATGTATGTGCACTGGAGCAGCAAAGATTACACTTTCCTCATATGATCATTCAAATGTAAATTCCACACTAATGCACCTTTTTGCTCTCGGGCCTCTTTTCAATACTGGAGTAGAACTGGCTGCCCCTGGGTGACATGTTTCCAATTTTTCTTACCCTCCTTATTGGAAGCCTGTTCAAAGGAAACTTATCATGAGTGCAAACCATCTCTTACCGCTGCTTTGCTTTCTTTTACAGTGCATTAAAGCACAAAGCCACCAGTCTGCCTCACAAATTTGTTCTGCTGACATTTACTTACACTGGTGGCTTCTTTAAAAATAAAGTTTGAACTTGTGCAAATATGAATAAAATGGAAGTTACTGTTCCACAACTCCTGATATAGACCAGAAAATTTGAACTTTTTAGGCATATTATATAACCTTGTCAAAATTGTTTATCACACAAAAAAAGTTGTGTTTGAGATAAATGCGGTGTGTTTAGTCATGTGTTGAAAAGTTTCCTGTCAGCATATACTACATCATGTTCATACAGAAACCACAAAGTTTTCTGCCTTTGTCATAAGCATGCAGGTTTAGTACCTGACATTACGGATCACAAATTTCTTATGTCACCCAAATGATCATGGAAAGTGTGTATATAAATGCAAGTAGTTGTTGTTGTTATCTTAACCAATTTTTAAAAACATTGCAAAGGATAGAAATGTGTTTGATATCCTTCTAGTTCTGTTTGTTTTCTGAGTGTTGACTGATACCACTGGTTTGACAGTTTATTTAATGTTACTTGTTACAACAATTCAACCAATTCCATTTCTACTCTGCAAGTCCATGTCCATGCGTGCATGGCATGTGTGACTATCTATGTGTACACACATATATATATATATATGGGAGATGCACAATATGCATATCTGTAAGCACATGTATAAATGTGTAATTACTGAGTTTCCTCTTATTCTGGGTCATTCACTTCTCCCAGATATTCCCACTCATCAACACTCACTATTCAAACAAAAGTAAATCAAACAGCAGTGAACGGAGCATAAAAGAGCAGTGGAAAATTAAATGTTAGCAGGCCAAATTTTAAGAGCCTTATAATGAAATTCTTTCACCAAATGAACAAACAAAATTCACAAGATATAATTGTGCAGAACAGATATTGAATGGTTTTGAACCTTTTGTGCTTTTCAGATTCATAGTTTATTGAAAAAATATCTGAGTTTGGAGAGACAGACTGTTGAAAAATGGTTATACATGGAGATTAACGTTCAGATGTGAACTATCTTACATGTTTGCATCCAAACATTTGAACATCTTCCCAATTTTTCATACAACCACTTCTGCCAAACATTTGTTTAAAAATGAAAATGTTCTTTTCTCATTACCCTCCCTTTGGTCTCAAATGAGGGTCTTGGCAAACTGGGAGGAGAGGTAGTGTTTGTGGTGAACAATATTGCAGAAGTGGGGGAAAGCTGAGCAAGTGACAGATATAAGGCTTGAAACAGTTTGGGTTCTGCACCTCATAGTTGGGGTGAGGTGGAATGAGTATCCATGCAGGTCGATGTTGTCAGTGGCTGAGGTGCAGAGGCGCTGACGAGAGCTTGAGTCTTGTTGACATTCAATTGAAGAACCAATGATCCAGGATTCTGAATAGTATAGTTCTCACCTAGGTGCCAGGAAACATACACATTCATCCTCGGGAATGCTTTGAATCATATTGCACGACCAAACAAGAAGTGTTATTTCAAATTCAATTTGAATACAATGCCGAAATTCTCGTCAAGTCCAAGGTCTAGAGATATTGTTCGGGAGAGAGGAAAGTAACCCCTCTGTACTTAAAACAAAAAGCAGTGGGTCAAATTGAACAAAAAAGAACAGCTGATTTGAGCCGGATCCGACTGCTTCTAGTATCTTGAGATACGTAAACTGGAAACCAAATGTACTCAGTGTAGGGCAAGGACAACTCAATTTTTAAAGCAAAATAGCTTTTCAGGAGTTGCTGATAGGTTTACGGAACCTGCCAACACTAAAAACCTTGTAATGCAGTAGTTTTGGATTGAATGGTCTAACCTTTATCAAATGAAAAGCATTGCAAAATGAAACAACTGTTCTCTTTGATTCACTAATCTTCCTGACTGGGTTCAGATGTCGAGGACACAAATAAAATTGCCTCCAATGGCTCTTCCTGATGGTGCTACTACCATCAACGATTTTACTCATCCAAGAATGCTTATGCTGGAGGAAGCGCCACTGAAATCTTAAAACAGATAGTGGTACTTTGATCTAAGAATGGTACTGCTGCAAAACTTTTTGTTAAAACAAATTGTCTGGACAAGTTAAAAATGCAGTATAGTCATTTACACTGCTCCTTTGGTGGCAAACCTGCTCAATGTTGGGAGCAATTTGCTGCCGATGTTCAGTATAAATAGGGGGAAATGGTGCTGGAACATCAACCTTTCAGCAAGAAATGGTGATGTGATATTTACACATGCTGCAGTATAATGCAATGAGTGCAGATCAAGCTGTGCCTGCTCTCCTGTAGTCACTTAAAAGTTTTTAGATGAAAGATTCAGTTATCCTAGAAGTTATAGTGTACCATTTTTAATGTTATGAAAGAGCCGAATGTTCAACTCGCTATATAAAACTGAAACCTACCCCTCTCATTTCAGTGTTCAGTACATGACCAATTGCAACAATGTGAAGTGGGATAGAGAAATCAGGCTTAAAAAGATCACAAATATTGACAAGATGAACTCTAGTTAATGATCCCAACAAATAGCTTCAGAAAGAGGGTTAAAGGAATTTTAATGTGGATAAATAAATGATACAAGCTATTGTTGTAAGAAACATCAAAGTGAGTACACAATGAGAGGTTGTCAATTAGCCAAGGATGTGATAATTTTTAGGTTTGCAGTTCGATGTTGCTAACAAGGTTAATGAAATACTGTATTGGAATATACAGTATTTGAAAGACATTAGACTCTACATGAAAATATACAGTCAATTCACTTTACAGTATATTCGGTGAAGCGCTTTGAGATGTCTTGAAGACGTAATAAGGCGCTATATCAAATGCAAGGATTATTATTATTCTTAACAAGAAGTTACTGAGCTGATCTGTCAGGTTAGGAATAGAATGGAAGGCTATAGAGATACTGTAGGTATTCAGGCTCTGAGATACTTCCGCATGTGATGTATAAATGCATGTTTTTGTAGATAGAAACTAAGATGACCAAGTAATATGTGTATGTTTCTGCAGAGGAATCCCATCCGAAGAATTTCAGTTGATTAGTACAGATATACAATCAAACAAATCTTCTGAAGGTTTTTAACATTATTTTCTAGCATAAGGGCAGACTTCATGACAGGGTAGATTGTACATCGTTGGTGGAGGAAGATACTTCTCCTTCCCCAAGTGGCTTCTTCTGATTTCATGTTTCCATGCCATAAAAAATATGTAATAATGAGCACTACTTATATCCTTGACTCTGGTCTTCGTTAATACCAGTTCAATTCCTGTCCTGGACTTAATGTCAGACAAATGGACCTCTGCCTTATTCTACTGCCTGTTTGGTTACGGCAGAAAATTGGATTTTTTATAATAATAATATTAATCCTTGCATTTGATATAGCGCTTTTCACATCTTCTGGACGTCTCAAAGCACTTCACAGAATATAATGTAAAGTGAATTGACTGTATATTGCGGGTGAAACACAGTAGCCAATTGCGCATAGCAGTGTCCCACAAACAGTCGTGGATTGAAGTGACCAATTTTATTATTGTTTTTTTCTTGAGAGATTATTTCAGGCGTGGAGTAAGGAAACTTGCCCAAGGTTTCGCCTTGCTGGGAATTGAACCTAGGTCTCTCGCTTGCGAGGCGATTGCTCTACCACTGAGCTACAGGACTCCTGATTTGTTCACCTTTCTCTTGTAATTGGTCTCAACTGCTAGAAATTCCATTTGTTTTTGTGGAGAAAATTAATTGAAGTACCAAAGATCAAAGAAATGTTATCAAGGAGCTAGACACTGTGAAAAAAAATACAGATTTGGTTTGGTTTAAAGTGCTGCTGAATAGGCCAAACACAAGTTAATACTTCCATACTGGAGTTCAGTAACAGTGATTGGGCTGGTGTAGAGTGTTTTGGTGTTATAATGTAGAGTGCTTGGGTGCAGGCTGAAGCCAGCTACTGCCCACGTGTGAGTTTGTGATAGGGAAAGATATATTATGCAATTTTTTTTACAAAGTTGGAAAGATTGGAACAAAACAAGTTTTCCCTATTCATATATACCACAGGCTTACAAGGTTGAATGCTCTACCCATGTTTCTATGCCCACTTTCATCTCAGCTGGCTAATAGACATGGAAGCCCTAAAGAGGAAAATAAAATAGATTAAAATCATTAGAGATTATTTTGGGATAACATTGACTGTAAACTAAAACAGTTTGATACAAGTAACCAAATAAAATTATTAGGTAAATCAAACATTAGGGAGAATGATGTTTCTCACCTAAAGTATGCATGTTCTTCAGTTAGACTTTCTTTCCTGGTTTACAGAGGTTCCCCTCGTGCTGTACCTGTTCGCTCTGATTTCACTGACGTGGCTTTGGGGAGGTTTGCACATGGCCTATGGACACCTCTGGATGCTGATCCTTTTTGTCATCTTTAATAGTTTTCAGGTAAGTGTGATGAACACCTGCTCAGCAGAACCATGTAATAACAGGATACAATACCAATAAATCATCCAACTGAAGTTATTCTTGGGCACTGCATTGTCATAGAATGAAACACTTCTGTAGTTGATCAGAGACAATCCAACCATCAAATGAATATTACCCATTGATAATAGGCAAGTAAAATAATGGGAAAATGAATGTATGAAAACTGGTGACCTTTTAGTTAATGGAAAATCTATGGATGATGTCTATTATAGAACCATAATTAAGAACTGACCGTTTTGTAAATGGGTGATTCCATTATAAAGCTGCAATGGACTAAGGTTGCTATTTTTTACAGTCAGCCCATGACAGACTCCAAAGTCACTCTTAGATGTACAGGAGAAATCTGGGTGACGTGAGTTCTGATTTTCCCTTCCCTCTGTTTGAGAAAAGATGTACCAAAAGCTTGGATTCTCCCATATTGTATGGACTTTTAATTGTGGCGATCCTGATGCAGTGAGATGAAGTGTGCTCTGTTACCTAACTTTAGTCTGTTTATATGTTGATGCTGTATTCCAAGAACAGTGCAGTGTATCAGTGTTCCATGCTCTCTCACCTCTCCATACAATTGCTGCTAATCTCAGCTCAGACTTCAGGGAAAGGCATGAATAGACAAACATTTAGAAATGCTGAAGAGATATGGAGACAAACCATGGTAGTGTGTTATGGATGCTATAAATCTTACGTTCCTACTGGGCACTTATTGATCCCCTATTCACTATGTCTTCAGAATGACGAATAACATTAGAGTTGGGAGTACAGAAAGCAAAAATATAAATATAATAATTTTCAAACTGTTTTTTCTGTGGTGCCGGCACATATAGTCTTTGCTGGTGATTGCTGCTCCAGTTCCACACACATGGTTATTGTTAACTCAGTTCCGCGTGAGCAAACCTGCATGATACAGCACTGCAATAGCCACAACTACAAAGTACATTGTCCTTTCAGACACTTACTCAAGAGAATTCTTTGAACTCACTATGTGACCTATGGAATTGAACTTTTGTCAGTGACCAATGTGTCTGAACTTATATGATTGTAATATTCATAAGTATGATCCTTGACCGCATGCTGTGTGGTAAACATGCTGGGTGGATGATGCCAGCAGGATCTCTTTAGGCTGAAAGGGAACATGTTGGTGAGAAAATCTGATCTTGGCACTTTGGCATTTTGTTTTTGACTGTAAGGCTCCTTATATGGATAAACGCCCAGGAGGAATTTAAGATGTTGGACACAAACAACTACAGAAGGCCAATTGTTTCCCTAAAACTCTGTAAAACTCTTTTGAAAAAGTGCTTATGACTGGAAAAAGTCCCAAAAGGCTGTTGCAACATTTGATTTTTTCTGGGGATAAATATTTTCTGGGGATAAATATTTTAACCTTTACCATGCACAGAGAAGAGAACACTTTGTTTCTACTCCGGCATTAAAAGTTTGGCCAAAACAGACGTAATAATAAAATAGAAATGGGATTGTGATTCCCCAAAACCAGGTGAGTACTTTACCACTTAACTCTCCACCCACCATTCACCCTAATTATTCTTAGTCATAATAATTCTTAATAATAATTATTTGGAATCTGGTTTCATTTCATTTCTCAATCCAGGTCTGTTTGTGGGACACTACTGTGCGCAATTGGCTGCCGTGTTTCTCCCACAAAATACACAGTCACTACACTTTACAGTATATTCTGTGAAGCAATTTGAGACATCTTGAAGACATGATAAGGCACTGTATCAAATGTAAGGGTTATTATTATTATTAGCATTATTATTCATCACAGAATAGGCAAACTTAGTACCAGCAACCCACTTCAAAACATTTCTCTGTTGGGTTGACCGTTCTTTTCCATTTATAGTTAACAGCCAAGGGAACAATTGCCAGTGGTACAGATCAGTTTCCTATAACCTACAAATACATAGTCACTAAAACGTACAGTAAATCTGTGAAGTACTTTGAGGCATTTCAATGATGTGATAATGCACTATATCAAATGTGAGGGTGGGTATTTTTGAAGGATGAGATCAAATGGGCCAAAGGGCTTGTTTCATCTGAACCTTTCTTGTTATCTTATGTGATCTTATAAGGGTATGGTCTTGTCCACACAAAGTCGTACACACAAAGTGGAGTGTCCTTTAGTTTCAGTACTCATGACTAACTGACAGAAGATGCAATTGGATGCGAGATGATGTCATTTCAATTTCCTGGTATTAAAATGTTGGTCCACTGCCCAATAGCATTATAAGAGGTTACAGTATGCCAGTGTATGCTGTATGTAATATTAGATGTTAAAAGACCTAATTTGTTTGTTCTCTCTATTTTGAAGCCTTGTTTTGTGTTACGACAGATGTTTTATTCTTGAACTGATTAAAGAAGCATCTTCTTTGTTAACATCGCAAAATGTAACCATGTTACAAATAAAAAATAAATTAGCAAATACAGTACTCATCAATGAAGGCAGTGTGTCTACACAAAGCAGGGACAAATTTTAAATACAATGGGTCTTTTTGACATAAAAGCAAATTCTTAACAATTTTTACTCAAAGACATTAGTTCTGCCTTCCAAAAGTCCCAGGCTGGAGTCTACAATACTTCTTACATGAATATGTGCTAAATATGAGTAAACACTGTCAATCACTCGATTCCACAAGATTTTTAAACCAAATTTGTTCTTATTTTCTTAACCTCAGCTCTTGACAAATGTGCTTGAAAGATACTTTCTTGTATAAAAGTACTGATCATTCAGAATGCTTTGGGTTAACTATCCGAATGATGTACAAAGATTAAAGAAAAAGAAAGGATGGATACTCATTAACTGAGTATATCACCATGGGCTGAGTGACAAGTGATGTTAAAACTTTGAATCAAAACACAAAGGAAGAAAACTTGGATAATTCTCATATGCTGAGAATGTGGAATTGTAGAATTGTAGACAAGTTCCCCTGGATATTAGTGACGTGTGTCTGTTTCTCTGCAATATTTGTCCAGGTTCATTCTTGTTCTGATACAGGTTGAGCTTGGGTTGCTTCTGGCCCAGTGTAATATGTGCCAAGGATGCTTGGTCAACCTGTAACTATCAATTTTTGCTGTTCCCTGAATACAGTATGCCTCCAGGTTACAGAGGTATTATAACAGTATAGCATTCTACTTTCCTGGTAACATTAATCTAATTCAGATTCCAGTATAATCCCCCTGCACTGGATTGAAGTGACAGCCTAGATTGTGAATTGAAAATCTCAAAGTGGGTCTTGAACCCACAACCTTCTGTCTCAGAGATGAGAATGAATGTGTTGTTTAGTTGGACTAATCTCTTTTCTCTGCTATTTTTCAGGGCCTCTATGTTTTTGTGGTGTATTTTGTCTTGCACAACCAGCTCTGCTGGCCAGTGAAAGCCAGTTATACTGTGGAAATGAATGGACATCCAGCTCCAGGAGCAACCTATCTCACACATGGCAGTGGGACTCCATCAGTGGGAGGAGAGATCAGCAAATCTACACAGAACCTAATTGCTGCAATGGAGGAGGTAATATCAATCAGAACATAAGAATTTGCTAGGCGAAAGAAGACCAAGGTCCATCTAGTTCGCCTTCCACCGGCAGTCACTTGACATGTTGTATCCCAAACTATATACTGTATTCTGAGATATTATTTTCTTGCAGACATCTATCTAATTTGTTCTTGAAACAAATGACATTTTCTACTTCCACTGTCTCCCTAGGGAGCCTGTTCCATAAGTTTACTACTCGCTTTCAAGAAGCACTCTCCCAGTCAAGACTGACTATAATGAAATTGTAATCCTGTTTCTTTTGAGGACATGTATTTTGTTGAAAGTGTGTATGTGTGAATGTCCTTGTTAGTAAGAAGTATACTGGTGGTGAAACAAAAATAGGTTAAGTGGTAAAAAAACAAAGAGAACATTTACCTTGGCTGTGAATTTTCAAAAATACCTCCTTTTGTTGTCAAGAAAATTAGGGTTGAATATTGCAAGGGATATAATTATCATAGACCAAAATTGCAGACAAACTAGTCGATAATTATCACTTGGCTACAGGAGTGAAACCCTCAGCTTCCTCAGTTTGGCATGAAGGTCAGGCTTGAAGCCAGCTGAAAGATTTCAGCACATGCTTTTGTTAATGCTGAAACTGTAGGGATGTCATTGTCAAGTCATTTGAGTGACACTTCATGAAATTTCAGCATATAATTAAGGGGTCATTGTCCTGTTGTTTGCCATCAGTGACATCCCCACCAAAAACAAAACAGTTGCCAACCCAGACATATGTTCATATAGATAATAATAATCCTTGCATTTGATATAGTGCTTTATCATGTCTTTCGGACGTCACAAAGCGCTTCACAGAATATATTGTAAATTGAATTGACTGCATATTTTGTAGGCAAAACGCAGCAGCCAATTGCACACAGCATTGTCCTACAAACAGTCGTGGATTGAGTGAGCAAATTATTCTTATTTTAGTAATTTAATTATTTATTTTGAAGGGAATATTACTCCCGGAAAAACTATCCACCAATCAACTAACAACCATGTTACTACTTACTGCTATATAAATAGAGGTGTGTGCAGTAAGGAAACTTGCCCAATGTTTTGTCATGCCTGGGAGTTGAACCCGGGTCCTCTCGCTTGCGAGTGGTGGTTATAACACTTCTGACTCAATCAGAAAAAGAGCGAGACTTGGTAAAATGTGCCTTTTGTTTCATCACTTGATTCAAGGGCTATTGACTGGAGTCTCTCACTTTTGTCCTCTCCACTCCCCTCAGAAACATATGAATTCATTTTTTCTTCTGCTGATAAATGGTTCCAGAATTGTCAGACACCTTTCTGTGCTTCTGCAAGTTGCGTTTATTCATATCTGAGCATTAACGGTGCATTGAAATGAATTATTTGGCAGCTATGCATCCGAAACAGAATCACAGCCAATCCCGCCTCAGCCAATGTCCAGACAAGCAGACGTTCAGAAGGGAGTTGCTGAATAATAATCAGGAGCAGAAAAACACATGCTAAATTTATCCCTTCGTAACTCAGGCCAACAATATCAATTTGCTGCCCTGCTGAGATCAGCAAACTCAGTGCAGACCCAGGGATATACCAAGGAATCTTAGGCACCTGCTGAATAGAGCACCGCTATAAACATGAAAGTTGTTGCTGACTAAATGGGGAGAATGATAAAATGTACAGGGTTTAGATTGGTCCTATGTGTACAGAATGTGAATCATAGGATTGGTAGAGTGCCAATCTAGGACTCTCCCATACTGGGATGTGGTCAGTTTCTATTGTTCACTGGGTTGCATTCACTTTGAAATATATTTTGTTTTCCCAGTATAGTCTAAATCACAGTCAAAGTCAATACTAAGAATTGGGTTTGTTGTGGCAGAAATTGCCCTGATTGCCTGCATGAATCAGTGAGTGTGATATTCTTGTCTGTGATAGCAAGCACCGCTTCTTTCTTACTAGTCATACTGTATGATTTTCAAGGGCTTTTGAGTGGAACCTGGACTACAGGCTTCTGGTTTGGTTTTCCTTCTGTAACCACTATGTTTCAGGAATGGGATGGATAGTCATTAGTTTGCCAACGTAGCATCGATACAGCTCAGCTGGTTTCTTCTTTCATATACAGAGACACAATCCTGTATTATTGCAGATTGTACACAAATACAATTTGTTATATCATTGCAGATTGCTCATCAACACAATGTGCTGTGTTTTTGCAGACAATACATAGACACAACATGCTGTATAACTACAGAATGTTCAGTCAAAGTGTGCTCAATTCCCTCAGACTACATAAATTGCTCACTGTACAAAAGCACATTATTCATTATTCTCTCTATTAATTAAATCCTGCTGATTTAGAGTTCATTTAATTTGTTTTCTGCATTTTTTATTACTATTGCTAAGAATTATTTATGAACTAGATGTACCTGTTGCAGCTACACTTGCAACCAGTTTCATTTAATCGTCCTTCTCTCTTTCGTCGGGCATTTTTATTTGTCCTTGAAAGGCTTGATCTTCACTTCTTTGGCATCTTTATCCCTTAAGATTAAGAAAACATGCTATTGAACTCATTAGCATTCCTCATTCACATATTTACTTAGGTATCCTTTTGGGAGGACTCCTGTGGGAGGAATCCTCTTGAGAGGATTCAGTGGTAAGACTCAGTGGGAGCACTCCTGTGGGAGGACTCCTGTTGGGGCCTCTATGTCAATCGGTTGGACAGACACACAGACAGACATTTCATCTTTATTAGTATAGATGTATCTCTCTAGAAAGTTGTATGACTTTTGTCACTACTCTGTTGCAGAATACCGTGTATACTTTTTTGGTGCTTAAAGCATATTTTAATACATTTTTTATGATGTAAATGATATCATATCAATGATAGGCGATCCCCAAACAAAATATGCCCATGACACTCTCGCTTGCAAGGCCGTTAAGATATAAGATATAAATCATGTCTGAACATTAATCAGTTATTGCGTTATTGGTGGACAGATACAGACATTTTGTCTTTATTAGTATAGATAATGACAATTAAGACTTTCCCGTCCCTATTCTCAGAATGCTACATTAAAAAGCACCATCCAGAAAAATTCTATGATAAGTTTGCATTCTAAACTCATTATACTTACTGTAAGAGGTGTTTCTCACCCAGAATGTCATTATAAATATTGGGAACAACAACAAAATTATATTTGTATAGCACCTTTTACGATGGGAGACTGCCTTGGACAGTCAGTGTTTCGGAACCCGAGCTGGGGGTCGGAATCAGGGAGGGTGGAGGGCAGTGTGATAAGGAGGGTGATTGAAAGCACAGTCGAAGAGGAGGGTCTTGAGATGGGTCTTGAAGGAGGCAAGGGAGGGAGAGAGGCGGAGGGACTGCAGAATGGAGTTTCAGAGTTTGTGGGCAGAGTGGCTGAAGGCCCGCCCACCAGTGGTATAGTGGGCAAGGCGGGGTACGTGAAGCAGGCCAGAGTCCACTGAGCAGAGGGAACAGTAGAGGTAGGGGGAACTTAGGGTTTTAAAGGGTGTAGAAAAAAGGCAGAGAAATTGGATTAGAAAGATAAAGAGGGGCCCTAAATTAATAAAATGATTTGCTCCTTTACACTTTGCAGCAGCACACATGTCATTTGTATTTACGACAAGTGCAGCCAAAGGTTAAGCAACTGATCCTATGAAATTGGAAATTTTCAAATGTCTGTAAACATCAGTGATAGGAAACTAACACCACAGCACTTGGGAGGGAATGTAGTGGGCAGAAACAGGGCAGCTGGCTTCCTCATTAATGTGTGTCTGCAGTCTGACTTCCAGCTAGAACGCTTCTGGTTTTGAACATCTTGTACGCTTCTGGGTGAGTCTATGCAAAACGTTCTTCTATAAAAGTTGCATCTTTGAGATTGTCCAAACCAGGATGCTGTAGACCTTACAGCATGTTCACTTGTCTGTCAGTGTTTGACTGGACAGTGTTACATTCTGGCAAGGCAACCAAAACTTCCTGCTGATATTGTTCTTTCTTATTTACAAAGGAATCAAAATCCATGTCTGGGCTATGTGAGGTCCTGTAGCTCAGTGGTTAGAGCATTCACCTCGCAAGCGAGAGACCTGGGTTCAGTTCCCGGCAGGGTGAAACATTGGGCAAGTTTCCTTACATCACATGCCTCTGTTTACCTAGCAGTGAGTAGGAACACAATTGTTAGTCGATTGGCAGATTGCTTTTCCGAGGGTAATAATTCCTTCAAATAAATAAATTACTAAAATAATAATAAATTGGTCACTCAATTCACGACTGTTTGTGAGATACTACTGTGTGCAATTGGATGCGGTGTTTCACCCACAAAATATACAGTCAATTCACTTTACAGTATATTTTGTGGGTGAGTTGTCTCAAAGACATGATAATCAAATGCAAGGATTATTATTATGTTAGTTGAAGCTAATTGGGATACTACAATCAGCTTCAACTCATTTTGGCTAGTGGGAGGGGGCGGTCAGCTGAGGTTCTGGTCCTGATCATAAAAGAGTGACCTCCTGGAGGGTGCATGTGTGTGGTAATTGGGTGATGAGAGCATTGGGCTTGGCTTTGATGCTCCCACAGATGAAATAGCTGACCAGGCTCACTAAGGTCAGAAATGAACAGTGGTCAATCTGGAGGTATGGAGGGTTACTGCCATCTGTGAAGCTGTATCCAACAGAAGAAAAAATATCTTAAGCAATGGGGAAGGGGAGAAAATTAGCGAGAAGAAGTGGTGGTGAAAAAAGAAATCAAAGAAAAAGGTCAAAGGCAAATTGATTTGGTCATCCTTGCTTCTGAATGCTAACAAAGCTTCAGAGCTATCTGAAGATATAATCCAGTCGTGTCTGAATGAGGGGCTGCTGAACCCTTGGTGCATTTTTGCCTGCAGTTGAAATTCAATATAATTTTGTTTACAAAATATTTGGATCTGAGCAGTTGGACAACTGTAGAAAATTTGTCCAGTCTGAAAAGCCTTCTGGATACCTATTGAGGAGGAGTGTAGCCAGCAATACCATAGATCAAAAATAAACCAACAGAAGATTGTATCTGACCTGCAACTGAATGTGAGATTTGTATCTGCATGTGTTTGTTATGACTCCCATAATGAGAAGCTCTTATTTATAACCATTTAATCCAACTGAAAGCTCCTTTGCACCTCAGCTAAAAATCTAAATTTGATGCACAATCAACAGCTGCTTGTTTGGCTTTGAAACTGATGCTGTAACTGATGGTGCAGAATAGTTTTCTCTGTTCCAGTGCTTCATATAGATGTTCAGACAGGGTGGGATTAGAGCACATGCAGGGTCTCCTTGGAGCTGACCTGTGAGTTCGGTTTCCAGTTCATGAGCCAGGCGGGGATGAAGTACTCCCGCACGTTGCTGATGACAGACTAGTCAGCCTGTCTCATTGGCAGGACTTGGAGGAGCAATCTCACATTAGGAACAGGGATTCTTCCCACTCATCTCCAGTTAATCCTGCAAGCCAAAGCCTTAATGGGTAGGGAGGCCCTAGCTGGACAAACAGAGGGAAGTTTCCCAGTTGGCGCTCTGAAAGGCAAACTGCAGTTTAAGCTAGTTAAACTCCCCTGGTCCCTTAACACACACTCTGAAGTCCAAAAGCCTCTTGTCAATCTGCACATAATACTCTCCAGAATTATGTAAGCAGGGTGCATCCCACAGTGACAGAGTACACATTCCATTCCACAGGAAAATGTCCATGTGTAGGTAGCATACATATGTGGAACTCTATCTGATATGGATACCGATACCTGATTGACCAAAGAAAAATCTGGGAGAAGTTCCTCTGATCCTCTCCTTTTACTTTCCGAGTGTAATTGTGAATTTTGTGCACTCTTGTCCTCGAATCCCTACCAGCAAAAATGTTTTTTCTTGATTAATTCTCTTAAATCCTTTCATTACCTTAAACATCTGTATCATATCATCATCCAACCTCCTCTGCTGCAACATTTGCTAACGTCTATAACCTCTCCTCATAGCTATATCCTTTAATTTCCACTATTATCCTCTAGATGAACGATCTATCAATATGGAACATATTGAGAAATTCTCTTCTCCCCACATGTTTACATGGGATTTCCCATTAGTGTAAGTGATCAGTGTGTGTGTTGGACTACAGCCTCTGTGTTTGATTGTCTTGTTGAGGAAATATCTGTTTTTTCCTTCATTTGAAGTAACTGAACATCACTTAATTCGATGTCATAACAAACATGTCTTCAGAAACTCTATTAAGCTCTCCTTGGATTGAAAGATGTTCAACTTGTAATAGTGCCTCAAAGATAGGGATGATATTGTTGTAACTGTGCCAAGAATATAGGGGAATGTGTTAACCAAACGAATATGTGCCCGTGGAACGGAATGTGAATCTTAATGAAGATGAAAATAACCTTGTTCTTTTCATACTATTCTTTCCAATCCATTTCTAAATTATTATAAGTTGTTTCTATTCTTAGATTCCTGCAGACTGGGAACGCACCTCTTTAAGACCTATCAGTCAAACAAGCAGTATCTTCAAGCAAGGCCCCCAAAATGCCAGCACCTATGCCACTGCAGGCGCCTATGACAACAGCAATTTGGTGACAGATGAGGAGTCACAGGAGTTTGATGATTTAATATTTGCGTTAAAAACTGGTGAGTGATTTATAATCTCACTAAATGTTTGCTGTCAAATCACACAGTAAGCAGTCTAAAAGCATTTCATCACATATCTATCTTATGAGGTTTCATTTAAAGATGAATCAGCTTTAGGCAGAAATGTTTGACAAACCTTTCTTTCAAAATACTCCTCATTATATCATAACTCAAACTGAGGTGCATCATTTTTGGGTTACTTGCACCTGAGAACACACACAGCTGTTTCCCCCTCACAAAAGAAAGATATTCCCAAATCTCTTTTCATGAAGTTGCTATCCTTCCAGGCTTCCTGGTGCTGTTGACATGTTCTTTTAGTTGAAGGATGTTTCTTATTAAGGAATCCCAATTATAATTCCCATCAATCCAAGGGAATTCAACTTCAAAATAGGATCAGAATGGAGCTCTGATGGTCAGTGTGATACACTTGTAATTACTGGATAAAGACTCAATTTGCAAAATCTTTGATCTCTTATAAAGAAGTTACGTTAAGAAATACCACAGATTAGCTATCTTCCTCCCCCCACACACACAATTGTTTGTAATGAGATTTCTCATTATAAGCAGGTGATGAAAAGTGTTGGTTATCAGCACACAATGAACTCAAATAATCTTTATTTTACTGAGATGTCGTGCCTTCAATCCACGACTTTTTGCGAGACACTGCTGTGCGCAATTGGCTGCCACGTTTCACCCACATAATATACAGTCAATTCATTTTACAGTATATTCTGTGAAGCGCTTTGAGACGTCTCAAAGACAGGTTAAGGTGTTATATCAAATACAAGGATTTTTATTTTTATGTCTCCGTAACATCGTCCAACTTCACCACTACCTCAGCCCTCAGGCCGCTGAAACTCTTGTTCATGCCTTCATCACCTCCAAGCTCGACTATGCAAACACCCTGCTTGTTGGCCTTCCCAACTCCTCCCTCTACAGGCTGCAGATTCTCACCCGATTCCAATGGCTCCCTATCCTTCAGAGGATCCAGTTTAAGGTCCTCACCTACAAAGCCCTCCATGGTCTTGTCCCTCCCTACCTCTGCGACCTCCTAAACCCCTACCAACCCGCCCGCTCCCTCCGCTCAGCCGGCTCCGGCCTGCTCCATGTCCCCGATCCATCCGCCCCACCAAATATCCATGGGTCCTCCCGACGTGAAAAGCGCTATATCAAATGCAAGGATTATTATTATTATTATGGGGCAAAACTCTCATGCACCGCCAAGACCCTACTTACAGTGCAGCAAATTTGGCGGTTATACATAGTCCAGGGAAGAGTGCACCAAAGGAGAATGACACAATAATTAATAAAGACCTACAAAAAATGTCTGTGGCTGTAAGCTGTTGATAGAAAATAATTAATATTTAGATACAAATGATTTAAGTAACCTGTAGATATAGCTGGGTGCATGGCATGCATGTATGTTGAAGCATTTAAGTTATTGAAGCATTTATTATCCATTTTCTATTGAACATAAATCAGGCTGAGCTTGTCACATTCTTCCTGATAGAAGTTCCTTTAATATTAACTGTGAAAATGCGGAAAAAATATTTTGATAAATATGACCTTGGATCAAACTAAATCCATATGTTTTGTTGTGACTAATTGTATGCACATTAGAATTATTATTTTTGTGACAACTAGTTGGCAAACCTTTTTTCATTAATTTGCGAACAGGAGTTACAACGGTCATCTTGAAATGTATTGGCATCTGCTTGCAAGTAGTGTCATTCTGCTATCTTCCCAAAGCAAAGAAAGTTTGCTAAATATTTTTATAAATATCTTGCCTGCAGTCAGTGCTTCTTTAAGTATAAGTCTTCAAGGAGATGTGTCAGGGTTGTTTGTTACAGCTACAATCAGCAATAAGCTTAAATATGATGATAATAATAATAATAATAATAATAATCCTTGCATTTGATATAGAGCCTTATCACGTCTTCGATACATCTCAAAATGATTCACAGAATATACTAGAAAGTGAATTGACTGTGTATCTTGTGGGCGAACCATGGGGGATGTCTCACATCAGCAGTCAACATTGACACAGGTGCTGTAATGCCAGCCTATTAGTTGAGGGGTTGATAGTATGAATACAGTCTTCTGTTCTGAATCGCTGTACAATAAATGGGAGGATTAGGTACTGGTTGATAGAGCAATTTGATTTTCTTGCAAATTATAGCTGAGATTATCTGTATATTACAGGGGCAGCCCTCAACGTCAGTGACAATGAATCATGCCATGGAAGCCAAGACGGTGGAAGCATTGCTAATTCACAGATCGTAGAGCTCCGGAGAATACCAATAGCAGACACTCACCTCTAACAACCTGATGCGCTTTTTAAATCAAATTTGTCCATATTTTTATACTTTTCAGATGTACTCCTTTTGCACTAAAATTGATACATTTAAATGTAGAACAGTGTTAAACTTTTTGATGTTTGTATGGTGACATTTTTGTAATGTTGAACTGATCATTATAGTAGCTTTTGATCAAATCTATTTAAAATGCATTTACAGAATTTTTTTTACATAGTTAAAAGAGAACTCAATTTAACTCACTGTGACTAACTGGATGTATAATTTTCTGTAGACATTAGAGGTAGACAATGAAAATAAATTATCAATAAACAGTTTGTGCAAGACAATTCCATAGAAACAATATGAGGAAATAATGAGGTGTCTATTTTAGTGTTCAGAAAGCATTATTTGGTTTACATTATATGGTGCTGATTGAGCACACAATTAAACACAATGAAACAAGAGGCATGACTTTACACAGTCACCTCATATTCAGTGTGCGTATACATGTGTATACATAAACATGTGGATCTGGTTGTGTGTCCCTAGATAAGGAATCTAATTAGATATCATTTATAATAATAATCCTTGCACTTGATAAAACACCTTGCACGTCGGGAGATACTGTAAATGTGAATGAACCATGAAGCACCTCACTTGATTGAAACTTTTGGTCACAACACGTGAAAACAACATAGAAATTCCCCTTTTTCTTTACATGTAAAACTTCCTTGTCTATTCGAATAGCCCCAAGTTCCCTCCTATAGTTGTTACATTTTGTACTGTAATGCTCAAGGAAATATGTCAGAAAGGTGCAGCCATTAAAAATAAAAACTTGCCAGCACGAACAAAATCAAACAGCAAATACAAATTCAAAAAGTAGATTTAAGAAGCATTATGCTGTACGCAGTTTGAAAACATTTATCTTCAAATGAAAAAGAAAAACTGCATGGGATCAAGTTCAAGCACAAGTAGTGTAAACAGTTTTTAAAGAATATATGTTAAAGATATGTTAAAAAACGGAATCAGAAACTGGGAACCAATGAAGAGGAACACCAAAGCCAACTGAGTGGTGGAAGCACAGGATTAAGGTAAGAAAAAATGAAAATAGCATTAAAAATACTGGTAAAATAATTAGCCACAGTCTAGGGTGTTGGTGGGTGTGGCTATGGTGCAGTGGTCTGCTTCTTTGCATCTTGGAGGTGGCAACTCCGCTCAGCAGGTTGCAACCCAATTCAGACTCTGTCCTCCCATCACAGCATCAAGCTACATTTTCATTGAGTCCAGTGTATTGGACTATCATCCTGTTTATGTTAGTTCAAAGTACCAGCATGTGGCTTGAAGCTGCACCCTTCCGACTCAGAGGTGACGGTGCTACCAACTGAGCCAGACTACCTTAACTCCCCTGCCACCTGCCCTCCACCCTCTCCCCACCCACACAGAATTCTATTCTGAAAGTAGTCATAGCAATATAATTACAATAATAATAATTCTTGCATTTGATATAGCGCCTTATATCTTCGAGACGTCTCAAAGCGCTTCACAGAATATACTGTAAAGTGAATTGACTGTATATTTTGTGGGCGAAACATGCACAGCAGTATCCCACAAACAGTAATGGATTGAAGTTGACCAATTTATTATTATCATTTTTGAAGGAATTATTACTCCCGGAAAACCGATATGCCAATCGACTAACAACCGGGTTCCTACTTACTACTTGGTAAGCAGAGGCGTGTGGAATAAGGAAACTTGCCCAACATTTCGCTCTGCCAGGAATCAAATCCAGGCTTGTGAGGCAACTGCTCCAATCACTGAGCTACAGGACTCCACAAACAAGGGAATTAATAGTACACATGTATATATATATAATCCTGGCATTTGATAAAGTGTCTTATCATGTTGTTGCAACATCACAAAGCACTTCACAGGAATTACTGTAAATTGCAGTGGCTAGTTGTAGGTGAAACCCCAAACCCTGTTCAGAACTCATCTAGTTGCCTCTACAACCTACTTACCCTGTTCACTTCAGTGACCGACTCAAATTAACCATTCCATAAATGTATTATCCTCTGTGCAAAATGTTCTTCCTGACTTCCTTCTTTACTATTCAATTTCCAACGTTTGTATCGTTCACTACAGGAAACAATCGTTTGGATCAGACTCACCAAACTAACCAGTGTGCAATCTAGGCATCTGGTTTGACCCACAGCTGTCCTTGCTCCCCTACATCTGGTCCATGGCCAGGACCACCTTCTTCCACCTCTGCTACATTGCCCGCCTCTGTCCATATCTTACCCCAAATGCAGCCGAAACCCTCATGCATGCATTTGTCACCTCCTGCCTGGATTACTCAAATGCACTCCTTGCTGTTCTCCACAGCTCCACTATTCAAAAGATTCAGCTCATTCAGAACTCTGCTGCCCACACACTTTCTCAGAACAAACTCCGTACCCCCATCTCACAAGTTCTGGCCAGGCTTCACTGGCTCCCAATCACCGAACAGATCGACTTCAAGATCCTCACACTCGTGTTCAAATCCAATCACTCCCTGGCACCTCCCTACCTCTCCGACCTCCTCACTCCCCAATCCACCACCTGGCGCCACCACTTGACTGGCACCGGCCTCCTGCTCGTCCCTAGTTCCCTCCACCCCACCTTCGGAGGTCAGCCACTACGCCCCAAAACTCTGGAACACTCTCTCTCAATCCCTCTGCCTTGTCCCCTCTCTCCCCTCTTTCAAGTCCTCCCTGAAAACTTTCCTCTTCAACCGTGCTTCCCCGCCAGCCCCCAACCCGCTCATAGTCAGGCTCCACCACTGTTAAGAGCTCTGAGATGTGGAGAGAGCTATATAAGTGCAAGGTGTTGTGGATCAACTTTCTTAGTTGACTCATAAACTTGAAAATTTCAATTAGGTCACATCAAAGTCTTTCCTTTCTAAAGAGGACAGATTCTGTTTATATTGGCGTGGCATATATTGTCTTTATCATGTCAAAATTTTCCAAAATGCTTCATACATTGAGTTACTTTGAAGTGAAGTGGTTGTTGCTATGTAAGCAAAAACAGCAGTTAATCTGTGAAAACAATGTTTCGCAAACAGCAGTGAATAGAGTAAACCATCTGGGTGAAGGAGTAACGTGTGCCAGGGAACTATACAACATCCTTGCTTTCCTGCTAAATAGTTCCATGGGCTCCGTATCATCACGCTGAATGTTTCATTGGAAAACAATGTCTCTGACCATGCAACACCCCTTAGTATTTCATTGGACTTGAGCTTGGTCAAATTAGTTGATCTCAAATATTTGTAATTTAACCCAGAGATGAGAGTCGTACCCAGTGAGCCATCATTCAAGCGTATTTTTAAACAAAGCAAAAATTGTTTACATGAAGAAAGCATCCCTTTAAATGAGCTCTTCTAAGTTATGGTGTTTCTGCACATAATCCACAAAGATATTGGGAAAATGCGTTGACAGGAATTGGTTTCAACTGTAAATCATCTCCTGTGCGTAAGAGAAATGTGTGACCTATTTCGAGAACTTGACTTCAAATTTGAGCTGCTTATCTGGTTTTGCTCACACACATCAGGTACGTGAGATAAGTGTCTTTGATGCCTTGGCCAGTGTTCATGAACACCATACTGACCCTCAAGGTGCATGAAAACAGAAAGAGGTGATTAAAAACAAATGGCTCTTTTACCCTGCAGCAGTTGCTTAACCCAGCACAAAACATTAACTTTTACCCTTAACATGAGCTGTTTCAGCAAGATTTCCTGAGTTTTTCTTCTTTTAAACCAACCATTACAAAAAGTAATATTTTAGTTGAGGGAATTCAGATTATATGAAATGCGCTAGGGAACAAAATAATTGTTTCCCGATCATTCCCATCAGTGGGACCCTGTTTACAATTAGATGCGGGACACCATGTTTCTGTCTGTCCTCCCTGGAAAGAATAAACTGCCAGGACCTAGTCTTGAATGGTTACTATCATTACATATATACAATCTTGTCAAAGTGATAAGACATTATATCAAATGAAAAGTTCATTATCATTATAGTTATTATTATTTGTCTTTGATCCTAGATTTCTGATTTATGTAAAAATAGCAAGCCAGTTCAAAGTAAATTGTATTTACAAAAGGTTAACCTTATTGTCAGACTGGCTATGCCTGCCTTAAGTGCAATGAGTACAATGTACATGATTGGTACCATTAAATATGTTGATTAGGTACAATTACTGAGTGCAGTCGGCATGTGTAAACTTTTATTGTAGTATAAACTCTACCATCTGCATCCTCACTTGTACCAAAACCTGCATGCCCATCATCCCAGGCCTCACCAGGCTCCACTTGTGCTCCACTGTTCCAAAGGATCAACTTTAACGTACTCCCTTACCTTTAATTCCCTTTATACAAATGTAATTTTGTTGTTGTTGTTTATGCCCTCGCACCTCCCTATCTCTGTGACCTTCCCCTTTCCTGTATCCCTATCTTTGAGCGTGCCTTTGGTCATCTTCCCATCCCCCACCTTGTCCCCAGCCTCCTTAATCCAATCCCCAGCTTGGGTTCAATCCCTTGACTGTCCAGCACTTTGGGATGTCCTCCTAATATGAAAGGTGCTATATGAGTGCAATTTGTTGTTGTACATCTTGCTCACCCTCTATCTGTCTTTAAATCAGCCCTAAAAAAGTACTTCTTCACCTCCCCTTCATTCTTCTCCCTTGTTTGGCATCTGACCCTCTATTTGTGATGCACTCTGAGATGTTATCCAATGTGAAGGGCATTATAAATAAGCAAATTGTTGTTGTTAATACTGACTAAAGAGCTAATGTCTTTCTTTTAATCAATTACAAAATTACCCCAAACACATTATACTGTGTGTTAACTCACACCGGAAATGTGAAATATTCACCCAATCTCATCATAAAGGCTGTTTTTTTAAAAAAGCAAATGTTAACAATCCTTACATTTATTATAGCTCCTGTCACATTGGGAGGATGTCCTAAAGCACTTCACAGGAACATTATAAAGTGGAGTGATTTTTTTTATAGGTGAAAGCAGCAGCCAATTTGTACGAATCAATGTCCCACAACCACAGCCATGATGATAAATTTTATTAAAGAGATTGTTGGCTCGGACACCAGGAGAAACTCCCTTCTCTTTTCAATTAGTACCATTAATGTCCACCTGAACAGGGAGTTGGGATCTCGGTT